GAAAAAAATGGCCTTCCCCGAACAACACATTCTGGCCCACGTAACAGGACATTCCCCCAAGTAGTCCAATAAACAAACAAAAAAAAAAATCCCACGACAACAGATCATTTTTACAATCAGGAGGAATCCCCCAAAAGACGGTCCATTCTCAAAACAAGACACCTCCTCATTTGAATGTGTTGACCTCCTCCAGGAAAAGGCAGGATCTCGCTGAACGGCCACAGCGGGCCGGTGGACTTCCTGGCGGCCATCACCAGCACCTTGTCTCCGGACCTCCTGAAGAGGGACTCGGTGGCGGACGGGCCGGACTCGGCGTGCGGGGGCGAGGATCCCAGCGATACTTCCTCCCAGGAATCCCTGCAGCACCCGGGCGATGGCCGGGCGGCGGGCGGCGGCGGCCGCGGCGGCGTCCTGCTGCGCTACAAGCTGCGCTCCACCTCGGGGCTGCCCGGACGGCCGCTCACGGCCGCCGCCGCCGACGAGGCCTCCGACTCGTCCCTGGAGTCCCTGGAGCACAGCGTGGAGGACGGCTCCATCTACGAGCTCAGCGACGATCCCGAGACGTGGGTGCGGGGGCGCCCCTCGGAGAAGGACGGCAGGGCCAAAGACAGGGTGGTCTCGGCCGCCGTGGTCTCCGGGGGCCGAGGGTTCCGGAGGCTGCGGGAGGGGGCGCGGACAGCCGGGGAGCCTTCGGAGAACGTCCTTCTGGTTTGGCAACTCCCGTTGACTGTCTAATTTAGAACAACGCGCTTCACCTCCAGTGCACTCGCGTAGCATTCGAAAGGAATCTCGGAGGCTCACGCGTCGAAGAAGGGAAGCGCTCCACCTTGGGTTTCAGCATTGCCTAGTCCAAGGACTATAAAATCATCCTAAAGTCATAGACCAATAACAGGTAATAATTCCCAAAAGGACAGGTATCTTAAAAAAAAAAAAAAAAGCAACTCTGAAAGCACAGACAGCAGAATTGTCTCGCTTTGCTTGACGGTTGACTCGCAGCTCGGAATTGGCATGACCGCCACCTGCGGGACAGGAGTAGAACAATGCCAAACGCATTCCATGACACTTTGTTTCAATAGAAACCCTTGTGATGGGGGGGGGGGGG